TTCCAAGGTACATTTGGATTTCCGCCTCGTATCTTCCCAGATATTTAAACTTGTCTACTTTTGGCATCTCCAATTCGTTAGAAACAAAGAAAAAAGTACTGAACTTTTCTCTTTATTTTTTTTTTTTTTTAAGAATTTCACCCCGAGCAAGGCGGGAGTGCCACTAGCACGCAGAGGTTACAGAGCATAGAGAACAAGAGTCAAGAGGAGTCTTTGGGGAGAGGATAAAGAGGAGGACATGGTAACAAGATCAAGGTATCAGAAGATGTCGATTGACATTACACTATTTGAAGATTATAGTTGTCAGAGAAGCAAGTAAGAGGGTGAGAATTCCACAGCCGGGAAATGCGAAAGAAGAAGCTGCTTGAGAAGAAGAGACGGTTATATTTAACCGTTTCGACAGTGAAAGGGTGGGACCGAAATGCCAACCGAGTAGCTCGCTTAAATTCATGCAGTCTGGGAACCAGCGAAAGCAACTCGTCGGAACAGTTGCGGTAAAAATATTTATAGAAGAGTCAGAGTCTATGAGAAAGCGACTATAGACTAGATGACTGATCAAGACTTGCATATCCGTCTCTGGATTTTGTCGAGGACCTCGAGACAAACAGCGGGGGTACCAGACCATATATTACAGGAATATTCCATGCAAGAACGGATTTTTGATTTATAGATTTGAAGGATGGAGTGTTATGTAATATCAGTCCTCCTATATGGCAGTGAATGCTGGACAATCTCCCCACAGATGAAGACAAGATTTGAAGCAACAGAAACAAAGAAAAGAGTATTGAACAGTTATGTAATATCAGTGCTCCGATATGGCAGTGAATGCTGGACAATCTCCCCACAGATGAAAAAGAGACTTAAAGCAACAGAAAGAAAGAAAAGAGTACTGAACTGTTATGTAATATCAGTCCTCCTATATGGCAGTGAATGCTGGACAATCTCCGCACAGATGAAGACAAGATTTGAAGCAACATAAACAAAGTAAAGAGTATTGAACTGTTAGGTAATATCAGTCCTCCTATATGGCAGTGAATGCTGGACAATCTCCCCACAGATGAAAAAGAGACTTAAAGCAACAGAAAGAAAGAAAAGAGTACTGAACTGTTATGTAATATCAGTCTTCCTATATGGCACTGAATACTGGACAATCTTCCCACAGATGAAGACAAGCCAGAGATTTATTTCGATAGAATGATACTGAGGATACCATCGACGACGTTTTAGAGAAAATGGCAACAAAACAGTGTCGCACTTTTCGCACTCTGTTTAAGAGATTCCCATATATTTAAATTGTTGTACTGGTTTTGATTTGGCATCTTTCAATTCGAATTTGAGCTGTTCCATTTGCTGACAAACATGTATTCTGTCTTCTTGCAGTTCGTGTTAAGTCCTTAAAATGTTACGAATTTTTATAACGGCACAGTAATTATCATTAACCCGGGGTAACGCAACAATAACTTCAACAAAGCTTGATGCTATCGGGATGCAGTTGACAGATACAGTGTTACTGCTAATGATTAAACATTGAATGCTGGACAATCTCCATTACAAGATTTGCCATAAACAAAAGTAAAGAGTATTGAACAGGGTCATCTTTGTTGGACGTATTGCAGGAATAGTCGGATTAGATATAAATAGATAACTGATTCCTTATTAACAATGCTGAGCTGATGTGCAGTGAATGCTGGACAATCTAACAGATGAAAAAAGAGACAAATGAAAACTGTTATTAAATTTGCGTTAAATTTTATCACCATGATATAATATATATATATATATATATATATATATATATATATATATATATATATATATAAGACAGGATGTCCTCCTATATGGCAGTGTGTCACAGATGTAACGAATGAACATCGTCCGTAATTTTTCACGGATTTGCAACATAAACAAAATTTACTGTTAGGTAATATGTACATGAATGCTGGACAATCTTCCCAAGATTAGCGGCAAGGCCAAGACCGACAGTGTTTTGCATTTCCCAATTCTGGTTTTTGATTTGGCATCATCGATAGTGGAAATAATCGGTTTTTTCATGCTTCTACGGCAGTTTTCTATGTAGTTTGCGGCCATTTTCTTCTGGTCATCCAGAGTGAGAGCTAACAATAGTTGGCTGCCACGAATAGGCAGGAAGATTCTATTGGCCAGCGTAAGAGCCAACAGCTGACTGTCCCAATTGAAAATCACGAATGTTAACTAGCATGCTAGCATGCAAAAAAAATCGATAGCATGCATCTGCATTCGTCACAACTGGGAAAAAAATTTAAATCTGCATGGCACTTTACTCCAGTTGGCTCATTCGCTTGCTTAGACTCAATGTTGATTCTGATGCCGCAGAACTGGGTTGGATGTGAAAAAGTATTTGTTGTTAACATTCTTTTTTCATTCGGTTTTTCCAGTTATGAGTCCGTTTTTAAAGCTGATCGTTCTGTGTTCATTTTGTTTAGTTCTTTTTTCGTAACAGATTTAATGTTTAGTATAGAGCTTAGAAAAAATTCAGTGTGAGATAGGCAAGAAGTAAGGCATGTAGCAACATCATCACGGCAGAGGGCACTCCTTTAAATGCAAGGAAGGGCAAAAATATTTTAAGTCAAGTGATAGCGATTGCTGTAGGAGTCGTACGATTTTTGAATCAAGCACGGGCAACGCCGGGCCATGCTGCTAGTATATATATATATATATATATATATATATATATATATATATATATATATATATATATATATTATAAATTTCGATCATATGCGTAAGATAAGTTTCCTGGCCAGAATTTATCCCATACATATATAAATTGACCTTTCGTCAGTGCAAAAGACATCAGAAAAGCCATTTAATACATTACGGAAGATGTGGCACCGAAGTTCGAAGGCGCACCGGAATAGCGAAAGATGCCTTCCAAATGCTAAGCAAAATATTAAGAAACAGGAAAATGTCGTTAGAAAGAAAGAAAGAAAATAGACTGTTGAACAGCAATATCAGTCCTGTTATATGGTAGTGAATGTTGGGCTAATTCCTCATAGATGAAGAAATGCCTTGCCTCACCAGAGATGTGGCTCTACAGAAAGTGGCTGGGAAAAGTAATAGACGAAGTATGTGAGCAATGAGGAAGATGTAAAGAAAATGGATACAAAAAGGACGTTTATACATAGAATCAGTCGAATCACTGAAAGGTAAGACTTGGAACGTCCCATACACAAAGCCGAGTTTGCCTAACCCCCCTTTCCATAAGTTCGGGGTTTCTTTTTTTTTCTTTCTTTCTTCTTTACATAAATTATGTTTTCTTCTTTTTTCCATGATAATAATAATAATAATAATAATAATTATTATTATTATTATTATTATTATTATTGTATCCATTCTTCTTCTTCTTCTTCTTCTTCTTCTTCTTCTTCTTCTTGTGCCCATTACTCATATCGTCATTTTTTCCCATAATTCCAGAGGGGGTGGTTGTTATTGTTGTTCTTTTTCCTCTTCTTCTTCTTTCCTTTCTTCCTCTTCCTTTTAATCTTCCTCTTCTTTTCTTTCTTCATCTTCTCTTCAATCTTCTTCTTCTTCTTCTTCTTTTTCTTCTTTTTCTTCTTCTTCTTCTTTCCTTTCTTCGTCTTCTCTTCAATCTTCTTCTTTTTCTTCTTCTTCTTCTTCTTTCCTTTCTTCGTCTTCTCTTTAATCTTCTTCTTTTTCTTCTTCTTCTTCTTTCCTTTCTTCGTCTTCTCTTCAATCTTCTTCTTCTTTTTCTTCTTCTTCTTCTTTCCTTTCTTCATCTTCTCTTCAATCTTCTTCTTCTTTTTTTTCTTCTTCTTCTTCCTTCCTTCCTTCACCTTCTCTTCAATCCTCTTCTTCTTCTTCTTTCCTTCCTTCACCTTCTCTTCAATCCTCTTCTTCTTTTTCTTCTTCTTCTTCTTTCCTTCCTTCACCTTCTCTTCAATCCTCTTCTTCTTCTTTCCATTACTTATGCCTTTTTATTTTTCCCATAATTCCTGTGTTGTTGTTGTTCTTCTTCTTCTTCTTCTTCTTCTTATTCTTCTTCTTCTTCTTCTTCTATACATTACTCATCCCTTCTTCTTTTTCCCATAATTATTCTGTTGCTTTATGGAACAGACTCCTCACCGATACTGACTTGATCACTGAGATCTTGATCCTCTACAGTCAATCGTTGTCTACTGTATATATCCTTATTTCGCTCCTTACTACCTTTATATCCAGAACAAGCTTCCAGGAATATATTGAAAGAAAATATTCTTTTTCTTCGTATAATTGATGGGAATAAAATGGAATTCTGTATGAGAATCTACTTGCATCCATAGAAACTGTGAGTGTGCAACTCTACAATGAGCAATTGGCTCGTTTAAATGACACATTAGATTATAAAACACGCTGTTCTAGGCCAAAAAAAAAAGAATGATTTTGTTGCATCACAGCGTCGGTGTTTCATGTGGATATGCGAGGCAGACGACAAGCATGGACCAAGAATGTGAAGTTCACACAAATGAGACGTATTTTCCAGACCTGTCACTTGCAGGCAATCAATTGTTTGGAACTTAATGGAACAATGGATAGAAGAAGAAGAAGAAGAAGAAGAAGAAGAAGAAGAAGAAGATGGACACGAAAATTATTGAAAAAAGACGGTGTGATTTATGGAAATAAGCATAAAGAGGGGAAAAACGAAAGAATTAAAACAGGAATTATGAGAAGAAGAAGAAGAAGAAGAAGAAGAAGAAGAAGAAGAAGAAGAAGAAGAAGAAGAAGAATTATGGGAAAAAGAAGACGTGATTTGTGGGAAGAATAGGATGGAGAAGAAGAGAAAGAAAGAAAGAAAGAAAGAAAGAAAGAAAAAAGAAATTATGTAAAGAAGAAGAAGAAGACAGGAAATATGGAAAGAAGAAGAAGAAGCAGGAGAAGAAGAATTGGGAGAAAAAGAGATGAAAGGATGAAGTCAAAAATCAAAGGAAGAATTTAGAATACCGTTTATAATTTGATGACACTGAATGACAAGAAATCAGATAAGTATAAAATTAAACAGCTTATCTATCTATCTATCTATCTATCTATCTATCTATCTATCTATCTATCTATCTAATTTGTGTCCGTGATAGAGATAGAGAGTGAGAAAGAATAGAAAGGCTGAAAGATAAAACAAAAAAAAAAAAAAAAAACACAAATTCAAAATCTAACAATCACATTTTTCCTATCTTGGCATACACCAAACCTATCATGAAACTGTCTTTGACGAGAGGCGAAAAGCAGACAGTGATAGCAATCAGGGAATAAAATTCTTTATCTTTACTTTCTCCAGCAAAATAAAAAAAAAATTAAATCAAATCAATAATGAAAAAACAAAAACCAAAAAACCCAAAAAGTCTATTGCAGATCAGGAAAAAAAGTAACGATGACAAAAAAGAAATCAAATCAACATATATGACTCAAGTTCAGCAGTTTTGAACTTAATTGATTTTTTTTTTTTTTTTTTTTTTTTCCTTTGATCTCGACTTAAGTATTGACGACCCAAGGCGACGCAGACGAGATATCAGTGTGTTTCATTTTGCACTGGTGTCAGCTGAAAAGTTAGTGTCTTGATCCAAGTCACGACCAAATCTCTGGGTCGGCCAGATGAAATTCGAATTATGAGGAGCTTGCTCACAATGAGGCTGACATTGCACAAGGGATGTCTTGGCCTTAAAAAAAAAGAAAAAAAAGAACAAAAAAAAACGAAATCTGGGAAAAGAAAATAAAACAATTTACTTGTTGTCTATGCATATTTAACATTTCTCTTAACTAATTAGATTTTTACAATGATGTATCTGCCTATATTTTGAGATGAGGTATTATGTACATTATTTACATTATTCGGACTATTGTCCTCATCTTTGTTGCCATATTTATTACAACGTTTCGGCCGTTGTACACTCTGGTCTTCTTCAGTATCTGCCTATATCACCGGGTATTGAACTCACACTCTTTGGATCCTGTCATTGGATCTAACCAACGCCTTTATCCACTGTGCCATGCATCCTTGAGGATGTATTCATCTGTTTATTAATCTCTGGGTATTATAAACCTACCAGTACTCATATTGCAATTTTTGCTGTTATCATTGCATGTTTCTACTAGAACTCATATTGCAATTTTTGTTGTTGTTATCGCTTTTCTCTGGCACTCTTTATTACTGGTTCCCATATTGTATTCATTTCTATGCTTGGTCGGCTCAGGAGATTTTTTCCACAAAAATCTCCTGAGCCGGTTAAGGCAGTGGACAACTTTCAGATGGAAATTAACAGGAGATAACGGATAACTGACATCCATTAAAACATGCCACGTGGAACTAGAACAGTCTACCCCAGTGAGCGAAATAAAGGGTTCAGTTCGAAATTCCAACCACCTGAAGAAGGCCGGAGCGTAAAACAGCCGAAATGTTGTAATAAAATATGGCGACAAAGATGAGGACAATAGTCCGAATAATGTAAATAATGATGTTCACTCTGTACAAGGTCCAAGAGCCAATCGAAGTAGAGGGTTACAGTATAAGAGGCACCGCTCAAAGCAAGCCGAAGAGGCAAGGGGCCACCGAATGTGAAACAGAAGGAAAAGATTTTAGACGGAACCGGAAACGGAACCCTAAACAGAAGACAAAGCATAAAACTATACTCCTGATCAAAATTCCGGGGGTTGGCGTCAGAGTTAGCCGGATGTATGGCAAACCTATCTACTCTTATTAAAGTAAAAATGTAGGTAAAAAATGTAAATAAAATTTCGTAGATTTAGGAGACGTTAGAAGTATAGAGTTGAAGTAGACTTTAGAAGGAACCGGAAATCCAGTCCTAAACAGTGAACAAGGGATAAACCTCTACTCCTGTTTAAGATTCTGGGGAGAAGTGTGAACTGGACGATGGGCAAACCTATTTATTATTTAACCATTTGTTATTAATTATTCTGTTACTGTTGGCCAAACTTAAAAGTCTTTGTCATGTTGTATTGATAATGTTATATTTATGAATATGTCCTGAAGATGGTTTATTAGACCGAAACGTCAGACGTTGACATATTAACATTAAAACAACATAATCGTATATAAGGATTTTTGTTTTTTTTTTTTCCGTATATATTTTTTCTTCATATATATATATATATATATATATATATATATATATATATATGAAAATTTCTCCAATTTAATTTAATTCATATATATATATATATATATATATATATATATATATATATATATATATATATATATAAGATAAACCTATGGAGCCAGGCAAACCTAGATAGGGTAATGCTGGCCATCATTACCCTAACTACCCTGGCCCTATTACCCTTATCGACAGGGTTATAGGGCCAACATTACCCTGACGATCCGTTTAGGTGGAACCTATGTAGGCTTACCTGCCTCCTTACGTTTTGCTCTATTTCGTGCATTGAGCACTTTTCTGAGCTTGAACTCTGGACGATTGTTTTCGCCTTAGTTTAATGTTCTTGGTTCTTTCTTTTTTTTATTCCTCATTTTTCCTTGGGTACTGGTTTGTTCTACTACAAGCAGAAATACCCAGGGTTTTCCACGCGAGTACCACCATTTATATATATATATATATATATATATATATATATGTGTGTGTGTGTGTGTGTGTGTGTGTGTGTGTGTGTGTGTGTGTGTGTGTGTGAAAAGTGTATATAAATATAAATAAATATATATATGTATAATTATTTATATATTATATGGGCGGTACTTATTAGAAAGCGCTCAATATCAGAGATAGAGCTAACATATTTGGTTGGATTGATGTGAGTTTGTGACCCTGGTTTTTCACGCTTTAGCGATCGTCAGAATGTCGAAATTTGTCTGACGATCGCTAAAGCGTGAAACCTAGGGTCACAAACTCACATCTATCCAACCAAATATATATATATATATATATTTATGTGTGTGTGTGTGTGTGTGTGCGCGCGCGTTTGGGTGTGTATGTGTGTGTGTGTGTGTATATGTGTAAGTAGTAATGGTATAGCGTTAGTATTTCAATAAATGAATAAATATGAAACATTTTTTTAAATAATTCTTTTCACTATTCTTCGATTAGGCGATTTTAAATATTTCGTTTTAATATTCACTTTTTAAAAAGTTGTTTATTTTTTAATTTAACCATTTAAAATTTTCCTTTATTCGAATAAATGAATATTAACCATTTTCCCCTATAATTGTATTCAACATTGTTTAATTCAATTTTTTTGCAAAGCAATATTGAATTATGAATTAATATTGTCAATGTTTCCGATATGCAGCCTTCAGTATTTGATTTAATAATTTTGACAATTTTTTTTAAAGTATATTATTCTGAAATTTCTATTAAATGAAAATGATATTAATTGTACCGAAATAGTTATTTTTTCATAGTAATATAGGGCGACCCAAAAAAACGGGAACCTTTTAACAATCCAATAAAACCAAGAATGATGGAAGAAAAATATTTTATTCATAGTAATTGAAACCTTAAGACATGCCATTTAAGAAACAATGATGGAATTTTCATTTTTTTTTAAATTACGTCCTGTAGATGGCGTCCTCCTGTACGAATGCATTCTTGAAATCTGCTTTTGAGATTCCTCATTGACTGCTGCAACATCTCAGCTGGGATACTCTGAATTTCATCTTGAATTCTCTGTTTTAACTCATCCAGAGTTCTTGGTCGAGTTGTGTAAACACAGTATCCCATATGGCATTAGATTGCTCAGTAGAACTCTTGCAGAAAGAAAGCCTATTCCGAAGAATAATCTGGTAAGTGATGGACACTTAGAAACAGAGAAAACTGCAAGATATCTAAAGCTGATGGCAGTGGTCCAATAACTAACAATGCATTAATTACCAAGCATTAAGATCTTTTCCTAGAAAAATTAACAAACAAATTATAATAATACAACGATACGCTAGCCTCAACTCTCTTTTATTGTAATTGCCGTTCAGAATTCTGCTGTATATATATATATATATATATATATATATATATATATATATATATATATATAACACGCCTATGTGTATATACGTGTATATGTTATTGTGTATGTGTGTATTCGCATGTGTTTTTGAACATAGAAATATAGGTCCTTGCTGGATTAGATAATCGTTATATTTATTTTTTATATGTTTATATTTGATTTGTAACCTGTAGTCGATATTAAATTTGTCAAATTTTCTCAATTACAAAGCGGCCCTTTAAGTAAACGCAATTTCACTTTCCTTCGCCCCATCTCTCTCCCCCACCTCGTCTTTCCCTCCATCTTATTCTAACATTAGATTGTCTATGGTGTGTGTATGTCACCACGAAATGTATTTTTATGCATTAGACATCCGACAACATTCATTTTTCGCTTACTTAAACCCCTTCCACTCACCTCTCTTAAAATCTTCTCTGTTAAGGTTTAATCTCCCTCCTCCTCATACTTACACTCTCTCTAAATTCTGTTTTTATTTCCGGGGTTGTTTTTTTCTGTTTTCTTTTTGAATTTGTAGGTCTGATAAATTGGATCGGATTTACGATTCCAATGGAATAAATTATAACCATAGAATATTAGTGTTTAAGCCTTTTTTTATATATATATATATATATATATATATATATATATATATATATATATATATATATATTCAGATTAGAACGTAATTATAATAATACAACAATACGCTGGCCTCAACTCTCTTTTTTTATTGTAATTGCCGTTTTGAATTCCGCTGTATATATCTATATCTATATATCTATCTATCTATCTATCTATCTATATATATATATATATATATATATATATATATATATATATATATATTCAGGTCAGAACGTAAGCACTGAATTAGAATAGGCGAAAATCAAACTGATTTCGCCTGGAGCGAAGTAGCCGACACCTCTCGGCCGGTTTTATTGATTAGAGACAAACGGGCTGCCGTGTTATTTCCCCCAATGCCATTTATAACCTGCTAGTTTAAGTTTATACATGTGAATTTTCTTTCCTATCCTGGATACTCCATTTTTCATTCTCTTTTCGCTTCTTTCTGCTCTTTCCTCTCGCCACACTCTATCACAAATAACCCCATATATATAT